CCCCCCCCCCTACTTAAATTGAAACCTTTTGTAGAATAAAAGATAGTTTAAAAAGATATCAAATAACATATAGGACTCGAGCTGTGCACATTATGTCCTGGAGTGCCACTACATCTCACAGCTTCCATGATCAAAGAGCTTGAATTTATCTCCGAGGAACAAAACTTTAGGGGAACGAAAGAGGAAACAAATTAATATTGTTCGCAAGGAAATATATTTACATTTACAAAGATTAAATAGGGACTTGTAAATGGAAAGGATCTCTGATGGCTAGAACTACACAACATAATTCAAGACTAGCTACAAAACTACTTCTTGACGTGTATATACATTGCCTCTACATAAAAGAAGTTACTTACAGAGACGTGGAGTTAAGGATTCCCAATACTTGTGACGAAAGGAACCAACCTTCTGTAGTCTCTCCTCTTTCCCAGTATACAGCTATCAAGAACCCGCCCAAGAATAAGTCGTGTGTTTTGCAGAGCCACCTCTCTTGGTGAGGGTCCTGATTCATTCGAAACCCCTGGCGCGAGGATGGAACCCGGTCCAGAAGTTGATACAATGCCATATTGTAAGGGCCCACTGCGAGCCTTGAACGATGTCTGAGGAGCAAGCATCTTATCCTCAACTCCACCATGTCCATTTTCAAAGGACCCTATTTCATGTGGGTGTGGACCTGTCATTGAACTACAACTCTGTAAAAGTGCTTCTAATACACTCAATGCCTCCCAGCACAACGTACTCTCCACCAACTGTGAGACTATTGCGTACATATGTGGACTTTGAGAAGCATCTACAGGAGTATGCTGGAGCAATGCCTTCAGCATTAGGAGTATTACGCGCTGGTATTCGACTGGTCCTTTCTCCAGCAGACGTAGTAAGTGACCAAAAGCCAATGCAGAGTGCTTTGGAAACCACTCGTTGCAAAGTAGAGGGGAGACACAAGCAAGAAGAATTTCAATACTTTTGATCTCACCTCGAGAGTATGCCATAAAAACAGTAGCTAATTCGTCCAATGATTTTGCTCGACACCAGATATGAATATTAGATGCAACTGAGCATGCTTTTTGATGCTGTTGCTGGAGTGGTGAAGCTGGCCCTGTCAGTGGATCCTTACTGAGCTGCAGGCAGAGCCATGGGAGTAAGCCTGTGATGTGCATCAGAAGTCTCGTTTCCGCATCCCCAAATATGGAATCACATGAGTGCACCGTAATCCGTGAAAGAACCTCTATTGAGACACCATGACTAACAGTTGACATCAGCCCTTTAAGTACAAGAGGCTGTACCCCTTCAAATGTTGGAAGATTCCCAGTAGATGGAGGCAGCTCATAGCCCATTCTAGATTCAATCCGTTGGAAGTCTCCAATGTCGTTGTTAGTATCAAGTTCATCCCGAGGCATGCTTGAAAGGAGTACATTTTCAGTTGTTCTATCCCAGAAAGATAAACGATCAATCACACGGGAGAAGAGCTCAAGAACCTGGCAGTATACATGGACAAAATCTGTGTGCATCATAGCCACACATCCCCAGAAGAGTTGAGGATAGAGTATCACCTTTTCAGGCTCCATGTTCTCAACCATTACCTGCAAGGTCAACAGAATTTCCATAATGAATCCTAACACAGGGGGTACCGGGTTTCCAAGACATCTATGCAGACAACGAAGGAGAGACACACAAGTATCACTTGTAACACTTGGCCGCAGTGCACGGTATATCTGGTGTGAGCGACAAGCAAGGTGTCGCGATGTACATTCCATAGCCCATTTCAGTGCCTCTGATCCCCAAGTCTCACGCAAATCACCTTGGAAGAAGATAGCATCTACCATGCTCTGAACCAGTGCAGAGAGAAGTGCCGCACTAGGAAGCTCTGTTCTCACAACAGACGGGTCTTCATTCTCCCACATCATGCTTCCGCGCTTTGATTGAACATACTTGATCAGGCTCACAACCTGTTGCTTGTTCTCTCCATCATTGTTTTCAACTTCATAAAGTTCCAAGTGTCGGCCCGCAAGTGAATATAATAGATTAACAAGCAATTGCTGGCAGTGTTCTAGAACAATGTCTTCTGAACTATCCATTGAAACAAAAGTGACATGAAAAAGCAGAGGCAAGTGCTCACGGAAATCTTCATCATTCTCATATGCAATTTCAGCGAGAAGGATCAATGCTATGTCAGCATGTGTAAGAGAATGCTGCTGATGACCCTGTAGTGCAGACTGTAGTTCTTTAGCACTGACCCCATGTGCAGCAACCCCAGAATGAAGCCCATCTTCACCAGAATTTGGCGTATCAATGAGATAGTCACCACTGTCCCTGGAGACATGCCGACTGCGGATAGTTCCAGTAGAACTTCTAACACCCATCAAAGGACCAGACATATTCACTAAAGCTGGAAGTAGCTGGCCTGATCGACCTGCATTTACTGGAACAATGTTCAACTCAGGAGGCATTGGACTTAGGGGGCCAGAGACACTTCGGCCAGTTACTCCAGCTGTTCTCCAGCTTAAGCTCCCACTAGCATTCCTGAGCGGACCATCAAGGGATCCACGAACAAGTAGGGGTGACATGTGTGGTTGGCTATCCACAACAGAAGTAACTTGAGCCACAGGAGGCCCCTGAGAGAATTCCAATACAAAATTTCCACCAAAATCTCCCTTGGAACCTAGACCAACTGGCTCGATGCTGTCCTCTAGCATGCGCTGGGCTAATTGGTAGACAAGGTGATCAATAGTACGCTGAGGGCATATCCGTGCTAAGTACAAACTCACCCGCTTTGCAACTGAGAAATATGTGGCAAAAGCACCACTTATTTCCGCAGATGCATTAGAATCACAATCTTCAATTCCCTTTGTGATCAAGAAATCCAGAACAGGACTTATGTTCCTTGGTTTGCTAGCAATTGTGCTCCAGAGCTTTTCAATTTCATCTGGGAACTGATCCCCATGCCGCCATGTGACATAGTAAAGGCTTTTAAGAAGTCTATCACTCCAGCCCGAGTCTTTGAGTTTCCAGAAATTAAGGTTCTCAATCCACGGAGCCATGCACGTGAGAACCTGATGTTGAGCTATGATGTCAACTGCATCAAGTTGCCTTTGCATTATCTCCTCACAAAGGAGTTGACTCAATTCAGGGTGATCTTTTGCAAGTTTACAAGAAAGCTTGTACTGAAATTGTTGGTATGAATCGGGAAGATTTCCGACGACGGCTGCTCGATAGCTCCCCGACCCCTCAGTGCCATCTTCAGCCCATTCGCGGACAGAAAGAGTTTCAAGCATCTGAAGGGCATCATCACGGATTTGTCTACTAGGGTCCACCACCTTGTACAGAATTAAGCTTAAGAGTCTTTGGATTTCACATTTTGGTATCTCTTGCCGCATATACACTTCTGCCAGCACACTGAAGTAACCATCAGCTATGGCAGCATCGGAGTAGTAGCACTGAAATAGAAAAGTAGCCAATTAGCCTCACTTGATAGAAACTTGGTCTCTCGTAAACAAAAATACAAAATCATACAAAAATAATAATTCCAGCCAAAAGTGTACATAAGAGGTGATCAACACGAGCAAATCACAGAGGTAAAGCATACCACACAAAGTGATTAGCTTGTAAAATGATGGATGGATGGAACAAGATATTTAGGAAGGTAGCTGCACTCTTTGTTCCTCAACTTTGTACAAATTCAGTCCTCATACATCATATCTACTCTTACAAAAAAATGGTAATTGTTCTTTCCATTTTGAAAAATTAAAGCTGTCTTCCATTGTAATAAGACAATGTGGCGATTGCAATGATTAAATAACCCAATGCCCAACTTTGTAGTCATCAAAGCTGTATTTAAAAATAAAAATGATACCAACTTTAAGGATGCTGACACAAACCAACACAGTCCATCAGTTATTCGTTGTAATAAAAGTATTCTAATAAATCAAGCATTAATCAACCCTCGCTCAACCATATGATTCTTGCTTCACCATTATAATTCAACAATCAAAACCCTTTTACTTCAAGCATTCTTCGATTTTTAGCCTTAGCCTTTGTGCATGCAAATTTTCCTTTTGAGACCACAACAATCTTCACAAATTGTATGGATATAGACATGTCCCATCCAAAAATCTTTTTTCAATTTATAATCTTCAAAAGAGAACTCTGTTGTAAATTATAACAAGACACAAATGCATCATAAATGGTATAAAAGAATATATTTACCTGATCAATGCAAGCGGGAAACAGGTCCAAATTTGTAAGCAGGAGATTCTTCAAAGCCAATTTTGCTAAAGAGACACGGTTGTGACCCCCTCGTTGCCTATCACGACCAGCAGTGCCTCGACTGCCTTCGACAGATTTAGAGTAAGATGGAGTTCTAGGATCAGCTGGTGAGTAACCAAAGGGAGCCCTGGGTGCAGGTTCAATAAAAAGACTATTTATCCAAGAAATGACCCTGCCACTCATTTTCCTAGCATTATCATCAAAGCAGGGCCCATACAAGAGTGAAGCCATAGCAGTCATGGAAGCCCACTGGATTGCTTCAATTTGTTCACTAAGTTCTTTATCAAATAATATCTTGTCAACAGAATCTTTTGACCGAGCATGTTGAGAAGATTTGTAACGTTCTACCTCACGTCTATAATCGCTAACACCATCCTGGCCCCATGTTCCACCTGTATCATCAGACCAGGAGAGTAGAAGATCAAATAGTCGCTTTCTAGTTCTAAGGTCAAACTTCTCTGACCTTGACTCCACAAATTCTGGGGCTAGAGATCTCAGAACAGAAGCAAGTGAATAACGAAGAGGTTGCATTTCCTGGAAGCTCTCCATAGGTGCTGTCAAGATTTGTTTGGTTGTGTCATCAATGAACTTGAGATAATGCCGACGGAAAACTGATTTACGGGCCAGCATGCCCGGCCAGATTTTCTCCGCAACAGTACGATAAATATTTGAAATGTGAGTACGAAGCTCCTCACGGCGTGGCTTTTGGCTCTGTAAGTATGGAAGTCAGTTAGTCATCATAAGAAGAAACTTTAACAGAAAGCACCTAGTACTCTATGGGGAAAAATAAATGTACATCTTCCCGACATTGCTTTGGTTTTTACCATAAGAATAGATGCAACAAACTTACTTGACCTTCCTCAAAGGGACTTCACGTATATGAGTGCAAAACCATGCATGTATGACATATTCAACTATTCATTCAGCTTTATAAATAAAAGTAGTTTCATTCAGGGGAAAATAAACTTATAAAATAGGATAAAAAATCACAACGGACAACTAGCAGTGACCAGGAAAATAATTGATAAATGACAGGGGTAACAAAGTGGTTTCTTTGATTGATATTCTAAACTGATGACAAGTGGGTTGCGCATTTTAACGTTTCAATCTTGTTCTCAATTACTTGTTTTCATTGTGACATACGAAAATTTCCATAATGAAACATTAAAGAAAAGTACTACTTCATCTTTTCTTGGTTAATGCTCCAATTCCAGTGTTTTGATTCTTTTCCAACTCAAGCAATCGTGGTTAACTTGTGAGTATAAAATTTTGGCTCTAAGTATTATTTATTCTAATTAAGAAAATCCACAAAAAGCCAAATGCCTCTTGAATCTCAAAATACAAAACGACACAACTTCACAAATATCATTTAATAAAAGATAATGCCCTTTGATTAAATCTTGGATAATACCTTCCACTTTGGCTTTCCCTCTGTCTCCAAGGAAACCTCATCAATAAAAGATGCAAGCTCACTGAACATTAACTCACAAGCTTCAAAATGCGAGTGGCCAAGAGCCATGGTGGCTGCATGCTGATTAGGAGAACTGACAAACTTTAGTATATGTAGATAAACTTAATGAAGTTAGGTTTAAAAGCAGATAACTTACTAAATCAGTTTAACAATTTACAACCATAAGAGAGGCCCAAAAAAGGGAAAGAAAGAAGGAAAGTTGAGGCAGAAAATTTGTCTAGAAAATGTGCTCACCACATGTGCTTCTGATCCAGATTTTATTGAAGGGAAAATAAGGTGATAAAGATCTTTCGCTTTTCCCGTGGCAGGACTTTCTCTGGGACCTGGCGGGCATGAACATAAGAACATGGCATACATTAGCCACTGATCCAATTTGTTGTCTGAATCTTGGGATGGATGAGCCTTTCCACCTAAATCAACTGGTGTGACATGAGCAAGACGTTGCAAAACCTCAACCCTGCCAGCCAAAATTTTGTTTACAAAATACATTCTAGAGTAGAAACTTCTAGCGTTGACCATTAAATCTCAGAGAGACATTAGAGGGCTCCATATTGACCAAGAACTCGTACAAGACCAAGCCAAAAAGTAACCCAGAATGGTGAATCTTTAAAAAAATGTATAATTGTCAAGAAAGCAACTTTGGGAGAGCATTAATTACCTCGCTTCCTGAACAGAACTTGGGCACAGCTCAGAAGCATACTTAACCAACTCACTAAGAGAACGTGCCCACCTGTTCTTATCGGGGCTTTCAAATATTATGGACTGAAGAGTAACATCTGGAGGGATTGTATCAGATTCTCGTTTCAAATCAAACGGACGCCCCGTATCCCAGTAACAATTTTGAACGATGTCATCCTGTAGTTTCCAAAAATCAAGTTTGACATATCATCAAATCATTGCAGTTCGATGAGTCACTGAAAAGGAACAGCAGAGAAGTGCAAATAACATTAAAAGAAAAATACCCCATGCTCCTCTAGGACATCTATAATAAATATTGGCTCGGCTTCATATTTAAGAGTATAATCTGGTTGGTCAAGTATTGCAAGGTCTTGAATGTCGTTCCGCAAGGCACGCACACAGCGTAATAACTCCAATGCGGTATGCCTAATTTGACTATCCACAGAACTAAGGAAGATCAAACCAACTGCATCTATCTCTGAAGCACGAAATTCAGCTACTTCTCCCGACTGGCAAAATGATGGCTTCTTGAATCCATCAGTTCTTTGAACAGTACGCTTTTCATCATGCACATCATTTTCCAAACGATCCTCAATCAAACAAGCTCTCCAAAAGCGCATAAGTTCCAATAAGCGCCCCAGTGATGTTTGTATAAGAAGTGGAAATTCATCAGGAAGCCGTAGAATGAAGTTAGCCATCCCTCGCATCACTGCAAAGCGACGATGAGGAAGATATCTAACTATCCTGTTCAGTACCTGAACTGCTTCTTCACGAACACCAGGATCAATACTAATTCCATGCTGAGGTATTATCTCAGTTATTTTATCACTTCTTCCAACTTCTTCGATCAAATATGGTATACACTTCAGGACTGAACGGAATAGATATCCTTGGGACTTCTCCTTTGTTACAGAATCTGGGAACAGAGCAATTCATTTTACTTTGTCCAATAAAAATGAAAGCTAGATATTTGAATATAGGAAAGAGAAGATCAAGTGATAAGTTTACAAACAACAACTAAAACAGGCAAACAACACCAAAAAAGGAGACCCAGACTATTTCTGTCAGTAGCGAGAAACAACTAAAACTAATACAAATTCACATGATCTGCTAACTGGAGGTAGTCGACTTCCGGAAGGAGAATAGTTTTATAGTGTGTGGTTGTTCTCTTACTTCAACCAAAAACACGTAAGTTTTTAAGATAAGTACAAAGAAATTTACGTTTATAGATTTATCAAAACTATGACTACTTCCTGCAGTTGATTCAAAGTCATTTCATGATGAATATTTTATATTTCACTCTTATATGGCAGTTCCGACAACATAATCTGGCATCAAGGAGTTCATTATGCCATACATGCAGGCACCATGTACACCTTTAACATCTAGTATATTATCAAGTAAAGCAGGCCCTCCTAGGTATGCACCTCACTGAGGTCCTTAATCTTCAATTCCTTCAACACCCAATCTAACTTCTTCATACCAATAGGGTTTTTTTTTCCCCCCTTTCCAGTCAACTTTTTTCTCCTTTTTTGTAAGAAAATTTCCACCGAGGAGAAATTAAATTTCCAGAAACTTATACCAAAAGAAGGGGTCTTGAACCCCAATCAAAAGGAGGACTTCCTCCTTTTATTCTTATTTCTGACAGCATATGATAATGTATCTATTGTTTTTTTATGTCATTTTTATGTTTTATATGAATGTAATATATTAAAAATTTTAAACCACCTAGGGTTAGCCTAGTGGTTAGTCAACAAGAGCCATGTAAATAATAAAGGGTTTAGAAGGAATGGTTGCAAATCATGGTGGTCACCTCTTTAAGATTTAATAATACTACAAGTTACCTTAATATCCAAAATTATAGGGTCAGACGGTTGTCTTATGGGATAAATCAAGATGCGTGCAAGTTGGTTCGAACACTCATGACTATCAAAAATAATATACATTCAGTTCATATATTTAAAAACAGGTGTCTTTGGCCATATATTCTCTTCAATGTGTTATATGAACATGATAACACAATTTTCTAATAGTTTGAACTTGGCTCTAAGAAAATTGACTTAAAAAATAAAGTTTGGTTTATTTTTTGTTAGGTTTTTGTATCAAGGTGGAAGATTCCTTACATGCTGATGTGAGTTAATATAATCGTATTTTAACAAATAAAAATATCAATTTTACTCTAGCTTTATTTAGTCAGTTACTCAAAGACCTGAAGCATAACCATTCTGAAGCTTTAAAAAATTTATAATAATACGACTGCTACTACTACTACTAATAATGATAATACTATTACTAGATTCTACGCTTCATCCTTTTCTCATTCTACTATCTTCCACAAAGCTACAGCATGTAAAGCATTAGAAAACAATTTACCAATGTTGGTCCTTGAAGAAGTTAGAAGAGCCTGACTGTAGGTTCTATGACAAGACCTTAAAATCGATTCAATTGCTGCCTTCACCTTGGGAATATAGTGGCCAATATCATGACCTGCTAATACAACAAAGTTGATTAGGTTAAACAATATTATAGACAAATTCAGAGGCTTTTAACTTGTTGGTTACCTCTAAATATCTCCAAACCAATGTGCTGGCCTGAAGGAGACGTAACAATGGCAAGGAGAGCACGAAGACCAATAACTTTTGCCTCACCAGAACTATCTTGTTTTAATAATTCCAACAACAAGTGGTTCATGGCAAAATCAAGATTGTGCTCCGCAATAGTCACGCAAAATTCAACTAGTTTATCGTGTTGAACATCTTGAGTAAGCAATCCTTTCTTTAGAACTGTAAGGAGTTGAGATGTCACACTGTCTAAGTAGTCCCATATACGATTTGGTGCCTGATTAGCTGCATGAACACTCAAGTAAAACCTCAAAACCCGATGAAGACAGTCCAAGGCCATAAATCGATGATTCTTGTCCTGCACAATTGAACTAGAGTTTCATAAATTTGAGTGATGGAAACAGGATGGCATATTCAGTCTCCACTTGAAGAAACTTCCCACATTGAAAATTGAAAAAGACTAAAGGACTTATTAGAATTAATTGTAGTCATCATTGCTCCTTAACTCAAACGTAAATGGAACTTACTCTAAGAAGCTTGTAGAGTTGCTCCATGTGGGGACTTAAGTTGTTGTGAAATATTTGAGGGTCACCAAGACAAAGTAGAAGAGTGACCAGTGGATAACCAACCTAGAACACAAAAAACAATAATGTAAAGCACAGGAGGAAAAACAGACATGATGTTGGATATGAAGAAGAAAGTTAATATGAAAAATCCATAAAAACAATATGACGTCAAAGATATCTAGCCAACCCAAGTATTGCTCAGCTATTCCCAGAGACAACAATCTCATCAATTTTGGAAAATATTTTTTTATCCGCCAATTTTTTACAGTATCTGATAACTGTTAGAAATATCTTTACCTTAGCATATATTTATCTCCAAACAGTATATCCTCTGTATAGTTTAAGTTAGAATGTAATTAAGGCTGGCCAGTTCTTCAACAAAAAAAAAAAAAAAAAAAAAAAAAAAAAAAAAAAAAAAAAAAAAAAAAAAAAAAAAAAAAAAAAAAAAAAAAAAAAAAAAAAAAAAAAAAAAAAAAAA